TTTTTGTTGACTGGTCACATTGGTGTTGTTTTGATGGAGAGACTCACTCACGCTAAAATTTGGGGCGTTACAATTATTCGCTTCATTAATTCTGTTTGAATTGTGATTGTGAGTTAATTCTTGCATAAAATTGGACTGGTTTTTAGCTCGTTTAATTTCCCGACTTTTATCAATATCCTCTCGAAATTGAGTCATAGTTTTAGTAATATGGATGATAGAGCCAGATATCGCTTGGATAGCCTCACTATTGGTGTCTTGGCCAGACTTAAGTTCATGAATACTAGTACAAACATCTGTACATTTGCAATAGCAGGATTGCAAAATAGCGGAGTCAATCTGGCATGAATGAGGTTTTTACACAGCTTGGCACATAGTTAATAAGTAATCTTACCCGCACCTACGCCTTCAATATTCAGCACCCTTTTTCCCTCTTTTTCACGCTTTTTCCTGCCGGGATGCTCCAATTTCCGTTTGGATTTAATTCGTTGCCTGTGAATTTCTTTTAAGGAGTCAAAATCTCCTGACCAGGCAATGGACAGATTATCTAAAAAAGAACCCATATCTTTGTATATCTTCGATTGTTAATAATTCCTAGCTGTGTAGTGTCAGTGGGATAACAATGCATGAAAGCGTCATATAAACATCTGGGTTTTTTCGTACTTTTTGCCGAGCAACAATATATCTATTTACGATGTTCAGATTGAGTCACTATATATGAAGAGGTTTTGGGACAACAATGAAATTTCTTTCCACAACCCAATGGAAGTTCTTTAAATATTGGAACCTAAAAGCGCCGCCATATAGGCACCTGCTTTTTAAGTGATTTTTAGTGATTTAACTGCATTGTATATTTAAGCTGTACTTCGCAGCATCGGTTCTGATTGAGTTACTGTATAGTAAAGAGGCTGCCAGATGACAATGAATACCACCAATGAAGAAATTTTCCAGTATTGTGGCCTTCTCAAATCAAGATATCAGCTCTTTTCCAAAATTCCATCCAAAGCAATTTTTACCAGTATGATTAGTGCCTGCACTTTATTACGATTTTAATTATACCAACGCTTTTACTGAATGGAGTACCAGTTGCCACAATAATGAAATGCCCGCAACTGAAGGAAAAGATCGCTTATTTTCTTATAATGGTTCAGTCACTTGCTGACTTAGCGGTAGGATTTATCAGTTTACCTTTCATGAGCTATGTTTGTATCACTGACGCATTCGGTAATGGAGATTGTTTCAGACATCTGGTAATAGTAAATGTCATGTTGCTCCCAACTTTGATATCTCTGATAACCTTAACCGCCATGACAGTTGAAAGATATATGAGTGTTATACATCGTATCAAACATCGAAACCTGGTGACAAAAGGGAGACTGATTGTATTTTTGGTTTGTGGAATCTTGTTCATTACTGTGTGTAATGCCTTATAGTCTAGGACCTGTATAAGAGTTTGTATGCGTTTCATTTAGCACAGGTAATCTCAACTGTTTTAAGGTAAAATGACCATGGCAGTCAACATGGCATATGTGCCAAAAGCTGAATCCGGGACGAAAGTCCTGAAAATGACCCCGCCCTGAAACGGCAGTGTCGACATAGCTCTAACTTCAGAAAACAAAAAGCGATAGTCTTTCTGAAGTGCTTATAGTGTTTAGAAGGTTGCTTTTAGGGGTGGTCATTGGAAGAAAAATTTGTCCAAGTATAATATTTTACAAGAAAATGACCATGCACCACCCCAGGTAAATTGCTGATTATGCATAAAATAACTAATACGCCTGGCAGAAATTAAATATTCTTATTTCCTAAAAAAAATTATCATGGGGTTAAAAACTATGCTTAAATTAATGTAGATATTGCTGATTTCATAAGGATTGTCATTGTTTTCTTTAAATATAATAAATTTTATTTCACTTACCCCCCACGAAAACGCGATTTCAGCCATATTTTGCTGTCTTGTTTGCTTTTTATCGCCGAATCACGCAAATATCATCCAGTTATTGTACTTTTACATAATCATAAATGGCTGAGGAAGATTTCAAAGAAGGTTTCATCCACTTTTGAAACAGTGCAGTGTATTTTATCTTCGATAATGTGTCCTTCGATATCTCGTCAAATTGCCGCCATTTTAATGGCTCGCCGCTTCTCTGCTCGATAAATGCCATTTCTTCGTCTTCATATATATTTGATTACATTATCCAAGAGTACTTCATTGTAGTATAGTCCCAATCCAAAAATTGGAAATATTATTTGTACTTGGGAGGAAAAAACCTCCCAGTACAATTGTCCTGTTAGAATTCAAAAGAAATAATTTAAAAGTCAAGCGCAAGTTCGCGAAAACACCTCGTGGGTTACATAACAGGGGGAGTGAATATTTTCACGAAACGTTTGTTCGCCACCACAGGCCACAGCAACCTAAGTTAGGTACATTATATTTATTGTATATTTGTGATTTCTGATAAAAACAATAAATATTTGTGTATATTTATCATCAATTATAAAAATACAAAAAATATAATACATTTATTTAGGTTGCTGTGGTGGCGAACAAACGTTTCGTGAAAATATTAACCCCCCTGTTATGTAACCCACGAGGTGTTTTCGCGAACTTGCGCGTGACTTTTAAATTATTTCTTTTGAATTCTAACAGGACAATTGTACTGGGAGGTTTTTTCCTCCCAAGTACAAATAATATTTCATATTTTTGGATTGGGACTATTCTACAATGAAGTACTCTTGGATAATGTAATCTAAATACATATGAAAACGAAGAAGTGGCATTTATCGGGCAGAGAAGCGGCGAGCCATTAAAATGGCGGCAATTTGACGAGATATCGAAGGACACATTATCGAAGATAAAATACACTGCACTGTTTCAAAAGTGGATGAAACCTTCTTTGAAATCTTCTTCAGCCATTTATGATTATGTAAAAGTACAATAACTGGATGATATTTGCGTGATTCGGCGATAAAAAGCAAACAAGACAGCAAAATATGGCTGAAATCGCGTTTTCGTGGGGAGTAAGTGAAATAAAATTTATTATATTTAAAGAAAACAATGACAATCCTTATGAAATCAACAATATTTACATTAAATTAAGCATAGTTTTTAACCCCAAGATAATTTTTTTTAGGAAATAAGAATATTTAATTTCTGCCAGACATATTAGTTATTTTATGCATAATCAGCAATTTACCTGGGGTGGTGCATGGTCATTTTCTTGTAAAATATTATACTTGGACAAATTTTTCTTCCAATGACCACCCCTAAAAGCAACCCTTCCAAATACTATAAGCACTTCAGAAAGACTATCGCTTTTTGTTTTCTGAAGTTAGAGCTATGTCGACACTGCCGTTTCAGGGCGGGGTCATTTTCAGGACTTTCGTCCCGGATTCAGCTTTTGGCACATATGCCATGTTGACCGCCATGGTCATTTTACCCTAAAACAGTTGAGATTACCTGTGCTAAATGAAATGCGTACAAACTCATATACAGGTCCTAGACTAATGTAAGATTGTCAGGATTTGTATTGCTGCCATAATAAATAAGATAGTTTACTGCTTTTCCAAGGCTGCCAAACCGTGCTTTAAAAGTGGAATAATCCTGAAGTCCTGAATAAAACCTGATCAGTCTGTCATCATGTTTAAAATTTTCAACAGAGAAAGACATTTATCACTTATTTACTGAGACCGAGGGAAACAGTGTGTTTTGTGTACCCGAGACCGTCGATGTTTCCCGAGGCGAACCTAGGGAAACATCGACGGTCGAGGGTCCACAAAACACACTGCTTTTTCGAGGTCTCAGTAAATAAGTGTTTTATTATATATCAATAGTCAAAGAAACAACAAATTAAAGAACAAATGAACGTAAATACATGAAATATTTTATTGTTAAAACGTTAAATTAAACACTGGTTACACTGCAGTTACTTGAAGCGAAAGTTTTAATTACGTACTAGGAGTGTCCGAAGGTCGCATCTTCACCTGATGACGCTCGTGAATTTTTTTGTTATTCGCCGGTCAATAACGTATTGTTTCCCTCTCGCGCTGTTGCGAGGGAGACAGCCTAATTTCGTCACTCTCACGTGATATGCTCTCAACCAATAAAACACTACAAAAATGTGACTTTGGCTATTGATATATAATTGTTTATTTTGTTCATGTTTAATTTCTCTTTTAATTGAATAACTTGAATATTATATTGCTCGTTTTCAGCTTGAAGTCTTTTGTTCTCTTTTGTTAACAAAGAAATATTTTCCTCGAGAACGCTTGACTCCTCGATTGTTTGTTTGCCAGCTGTAGGCATAGCTTCAGGATAATTTAGATCAATATTTTCAAGGTTTGAGTTTGCATCTTCCTCAATCTCGGAAAATAAACGGCGTCTACTCTGTAGTGTTGTTCCATTAGCATTGTTTTGTTTTGAAACGAATGTCATGTTCCTGGCTTTTACAGTCGGTCTTGGATTGCATGGTTTAGCCGGCTTTGTTACTTGCGAACTAGGTACAATGATTGGCAAATTATTTGTATACGTTTCCTTGCCTCCAGAAAAGTGCTCCGAACAAACTCTGTCACCTATCGTTGGCGTAAAATTTACCCGGGAAATCAAGCGTATCCATTTCTTTCGAAGTTCTACTGATTCTTTGCTTTTTCCATTTGGCAAACTGTAGAAGGAAAGCTCGAGACTTCGTTTGTTGTTGTTGTTGTTGTTGTTGTTGTTGTTGTTGTTGTTGTTGTTGTTGTTGTTGTTGTTGTTGTTGTTGTTGTTGTTGTTG